CAAAGATACTGTTTTTGCCCGCTGAAGAATGTCCAAACAGGATTTTCCAGGATTGCTATATTCACCAACCTTTGAACAAATTTCACATTTATAATGTATCAAAAGCAAAAGAAATTAGAAAAATTATTTTTGTGTTAATTTCATGGTAATCTAGGATATTGGTGATGTTATTGTCTTACACAGTATATGGTACGTATGATGATATTTTGATAAGTTATTGTGGTTTTACGTGTTGTGTCGTTTTCCTAAGATTTTTCTGGGATGGCTTCTTTATTAACCGGCTCTTCTTAAAGATTGAAACCGGGAAACGCGGAATCGGAGAAAATTGATGAATGGAAAAAATTATTATTAATATTATCACTTTTGAAGAGTAGCTCATGTGACCAATTCTACCAAAAGTGGATAGTGTTGCTTAATCATTGCGTCCTAAAGAAAGTTACAACACTTCGGAAAGAGGCAAGACTTTATCTTACAAATTTCTTTTAAAAATTTATATAAAATTTTTCAAATTGTTACATTAAAACTTTTCTCACCCAATAATTCGTAACGAACCTTTCCAATATTTTTAACTCATAAAACTCAACACGGGCGATTGTGTGTAGTTGAGCATTTAGTTTTTGAACCATCCACTGTACTTCGAGTTTGCAGTGAATTTGCATGAAACGTACGGTATTTTGCCTTTTACAGTATTTCTTTAATTCCGGCATAATACAGCTTACTTTTAATATAGATTTGACTTCAGCTAACTGCGTCTTTGTTTCCACGATGCTTTTGTTTAACGCTTTCCATAGTGTTTCTGAAATTATGAAATACATAATGTACACTAATTGGTTTGCATGACTGCAAGTAAGAGCCGTTTCACCATGCTCTTTCTTGGAGAGATTTTGGCAATCTAACTCCATTATTTGTGTTATATATAATTATACAACAACTCGTATGCGTCATTGAAAATGTCGTACTTTTTGTCCAGCTTCATTATTAACCATGTAGTGAACAGTACAACAATCTTTAATGTTCTTTTTTTTATTCCTTTTCTTTGCACAAGAGCTCTTGGCCCATGCACAAGTATAAAATGTCGGGTGCGGGTAATTCGCGGGAAAATGAAGAAAAAAGCAATTGCATGTGGAATTATAATGAATTACTCATACCAAATTTCCTGAGTAATTTCTCATTTTTCTCAAGAGATTTGTTAAGCTCCTCTTTTATCTCAAGTACCTGGGCATAAAGATATTAATACATATTATATTATATTATATATGGAATGCAATATTAATACATACAGAATACACTGCTGGTTATACAGGGATATATTACAAGGTACAGGCTTTACGAAACCCGCCAAATGCAGCATCAACGACGTTACATAGGCGGCACTTATTCAAGGTTTTACAAGTAATATTAAAAACATTTAATTTTTTAACTTTTTAATTTTCAAATTTTTAGTTATATAAGTTCTCGTATTCATCGAGCAGGCGCGAATTTCCCTGCGAGGATACTCTATTTCAAGGCTAGTATTGAAATCAAAATATTATCATATTGTTTAGCAATGCTTACATTATTTTGCAAATATAAAAAAAAAATTGCATTTCAATGGGTCAGCAGTTTAACTCTCATTTCTGCAAACAATTTGTAAAAATATAAGATATTTATATAAAAAAGGGCTCTAAAAAAAGTAAGGATAAAATTAATTATAAACCGAGAACCCTTAATTGAGGAGAAGTTGGAGCGTATAGTTGCATGTATTAACTTTGAGTGCTTTAGAAATCTCATATTATCGCACTGTTGTTCGTAAATAAATTATATTATGAAATGACTGTTTAAAATTAATATATAGCCGATACCTGCTGATGTTTCAAATTCTTTGGAAACAAACAAAGTCATATAAAACGTGAAGTGAAATCACCAATTTTCCTGTTGCATTATATAGCTATATGTTAGGTGAGAGTTACATTAATACTTCACTATAAACCTTCAAAACAATAAAACAGCACAAATAATTTAAATCCCTAACACTAAACGTCGAATTTTCGATTATTGAATTCATGAAGAGATTGCTGTCGATTCTGTAAAAGCTTTAAAATGATATCTTCAGTTTACATAAAAACTACGAACTACACTTTGAATAACTCGTTTTGAAGTTAAAACGAAGATGTAGAGCGTTTTAAAAATAGTCGGTTAGGTTATCGCAAAACGACATACCAAGCCATACCTAAATAACTCAATGAGAACAAAATGCATTCTTACAGGAATTCGAAATAAACAAAATAGACATTTTAACTTCTAAAATAGGAGTTACGGAAAAAGGTACAGAACAACTCACTTTTTGGAGTTAAAAGTAACTCCAGATTTGGAGTAAAATATTAACTCCGTTTTTGCAGTCAGAATAACTATCATTTAGGGGTTAAAATGTAACTCTTAAAAAGGAGTTAAGCAGTGGTAACTCCACTATCGGAGTTATATTATTTCTACTTTCAGAGTTCTGATGCAAATTGTGTTTGTGTATTGGATTATTAAACTAAAAACATTAAAGCCAAAGGTTCTCGTAGTGTCATATTGGTAAATTTATGTCACAAAATTTCTTATTATCAATTCACATGCATTTGTATAATATTGTGAGTTGTATATTTGAAAAGACAGATCAATACAAAAGCTTTGAATTGCTATATTAATTGTCTGAAAGGATCACCTTTTCATAGCCCACTTTTAAATAATTCTAACATCAGTTGTTGCTTTTAACCTCAATAATACTCTTCCTATACCCTAAATTATGAATTACTTTTGAAAGACTTTGATTACTGTAAATTTTAAAGTGATAAAATGACCTATTTAATATTGATTTTTGCATCCAGCCCGCTTGAAATGCATCCGGCCCGGTGTGAAATGTGAATAAAACGGCCAAACCAAAGCAACGTAAGGCTAAAATGTGTAAAAACCTTTCCGGAAAAGGCTAAAAGTATGTTAGAAATAAAAAACATACCCGAAAAACGTCTTAGTTTGGATTTTTTACTCCTTTTTTCGCTGCATTTTACGTTGTTTTTCTAGTCGATTTGCCCGAATTTGCCGTGATTTAGTTGCTATGGTAACGATATCTGCCATTTCATTGGCTGTTTCCCGACTAGGATATCCTTTTAAGGAGTTGTTGAAAATTCTGAAATGGCTTGTAGCCTTGTAGATTGCAGAAATTATAGTTTTTATATAGTTATTTGCTAATTTTTTTGCTTTTTTTGTGTTTCATGAAGTCAATAATGTAAAGGTAATAAAATAAACACGTTATATACCGCAGCTTCAGCCCGGAGGCAAAAATCTGTGCTCTCGGTCTCGAAAACTTCCCTCGGCCTACGGCAAAGGTTAAAAAACACATTATATTTACCGGCAGCTTCGGCGCGGATACAAAAAACTGTGCCGACGGTCTCGAAAACGGAAATAACGACCTCACAGCCAGAAATAACATATATAATCAATAGATCATCGTCAGCCCTGCCATTTTTCCCTATTTTATGGGGGGAATGGCTTTGATATACAGATGAACAGAACAGCCTTATAAACTTGAACTTAAAAGTTAAATGCCGTAGGAAGAAACTTTATACATCGGGATGAAGAAAGCGATATAACTAAAAATATAGGGTTTAGAAGCCAAATTATATTAGTGGCACAAACATTCGTAATTTTTACAAGCCTTTTCCGCCTTTTTCACTCCAGAGTTAAATCAATTCACGTTTATAAGACTAAAATTTATAATAAACTATTAACCCGCTCCTCTTGTGCACGCCATTTTGAATTTTATTTAACTCCAAAAAGAGAGTTGAATTTTTATCACCCCCAAAAAAGGGTAATAGGTGAGTCAAAATAACTCATAAAAGAGGGTTAGATTGCTTAACTCCCCCAAAAGGAGTTAATTCTGCATAGTTAATAAGGTCTAAAAATTATTAACCCCTCAAAGAGAGTTATTTTTACTCCAAAACTATAGTTAAATTTTTAACTCCACTAAAAAAGGATAATGGGAGAGTTAAAATAACTCCCTGAAAATAACAGTGTGAGTATTATTTTAACCTTTGAAATAATCACTATCCAGTGGATAACTTTATCCGCCTTTCGAACAACCGGTCCCTGCCGTTTTTCATTGTAGTACAAACTTTTTGTCTTAGCCAATCAGAAATTTGCTGATTACCAGTCTTACCAGTCTTTACTCGTTCAAATTTTGCGCATGCGTTCAATTACCATGACCATTGAACGTGCAAAGTCCATGACATTTTGGACAACTTTGGATTCCGCTATGTTCTCCCGGGTTCCTGGTCGGCTCGCAGCTCGGAGAATATTACATTTTATTCATAATTGGTTTAATTCATAATTGTAAAAAGCGGTGTTTATCCTTAACTGAACTTGTAAAACAGGCTATTACTACCTATTCTTTTTTTTAATAAATCAATATATGGGCAGTAGCGTAGCCAGCCTCTCGATTTGTCCCGCTATGCCAATATTTTAGTGTTCACTGACTGTGAAAACAATAGATTTCTAAAGACATAAATCATTATAATAACTCGAAATTTACATAGCGGGACAAAATCGTCAGGCTGGCTACGCCACTGTATATGGGCATGTCTTTTACCCTTTATTATTCCCCGTGGGAAAAGCTAATTTATTACAAAGCTTCCTAATAATGAAACTTGCCTCTTCTTCTTCTGCTAAAGGGTGTAGTTTCTCATGTTTTGTTACATAAACTTTCTCCGTGTCCTGACGATACACAATCATACCATCGATTACAGGAGTTTTTGCTGCCGTCGTATTATCTGGAATAACCAGCATCTAAGACGAAAGATAAAAAATTGAATAATGTGTTCAAATGGTTAATGGAAAAAATCTTGGTCTGATATTTCACAGTACAGATCGAACAACTGAGGTTATCGGTTCATTATACGACTGAACCTCACGAAAAATCCGGGAAACTGGTCTAGATGCGGAATTAATTATATGGACCACGGTCCGGATATGGGTTTTACGGACCGCTCGTCAAACAATCCAATAGAAAATTTTGAAAAGTAATTACTTTCCGTTAAATTTGTCTGAAAAAAAGAATAGAAACTTCGATCTTAGTATTGAAGTGTGTCCAAGAAAACACTTTGTTCCTAGCTGTAGGGATTAATATGGTATTTTTATAAACGGCTTTGGTAATGCCATTGTTTCGATGGTAACATGCAAATTCGCAAACACGAAAATATTCGGATTCGCTGAGTGCAAAATGAATAATAAACGACATGGTAAAAGGTAATAAATTATGATTCTTACCCCACCGTACAAGAGTGCTTTTCCTGTTGTATCGCACCGACCCTGTTAAGAATCATGAATGTGTGTGAATGCTTTCATAACAAATTTACATTCATTGCCCTTTCTTATGTGAGAGTTAACTTTAATTGTTGAAGATCTTCCAACAAACCTCGATCGGCGATTCACTGTTTCCGATTAACTTATACCACACAAAAGTGTCGTTTTCCTTCATTTTGTAATCAATGCATTTGGTCCAAAATTTCTTGTGGGAAGACGTCCTCACCCAAAACCAAGAGTAAATGTGTGATTCAATTGTTCCACCATTTTGAGCTTTGCATTTTTCAAAACAATAGTTCCGTTTACCTCTTGAAGGTCCGTGGCAACCACAACACTATATACGGGACAAAATTAACAGTACATAAATATTTCACAAATAGAGTTGTGCGAGAGCAATCGATCATCATAATTTTGCTTAGGTGTTTTTAAATTTGCATGCAAGGGTTTATAAACTGACCACGTTTCTAAGACAAGTTCCCAACTGATTGATGAGATCTGAATTTGTGTTATATTAACATAAAGATAATTTGATCACAAAGGACTTAGTATCAAAATAATATCTTAGTTTGATACTAAAAATTGACAATGCGCAAATGGAAAGGCTGGGGAAAATGTCACTGGCAACGTAGGTATTAAAATAGAATTGTACTTAGAAGAAATTAAAGGCGATCGCATGCAGAACACAAAAAACCATTGCAATGATCATAACTAAGAATAATTAAGCATAACAATAGCAGAACTTAAGCACGTTTACTGCAAAAAGCTTCGTCTACGCCCAGAATTTGTATGAGAGCATAGATGAAGGAGAAGATAATTTGTTTAGAATAATCATTTTTGGGGTGTTTGGACGCCACAGAACTTTAAATTATTCTCGAGACATGAAAGAATGAGGATACTGGAGCGAATGTATCTTTTAACCACAATTTAATATCATAAATTATGCGCATTCTCTTTACTTATTCTGTCTGTGCCAAACGCTAGAAAGACAATACGATACTAACATGTCCTCGGCTGCACCCAACTTGGGCCGTTGCTCCGTATTCGATTCCGGAAATGTTCTTTGTTGCACTATAACTAAAAAATGAAAATAATAAATATAGTGTAATTTACTACATATGTTTTATTGGGTGATAAAATTTATCCAAGAAACGTCCAAGGGCTATATACAGTTTACAAACAATAACAATATAGCTTATGAAAGTCGTCTGTTTTTGACTGGGGAAAAACGTGGTTAAATGAGTTTTATACTGTACACCTGCCCCAGTAGATATAATAGAAAAGAGTACAAATAGATTTACCTGAACGATCCTGAATAGTCTTGCTGAATGGGATATCTCCGGTGAAATGCAAATCCATACGGACATGGTTTTTCAAGACATGAATTCATCATTGTCTAAAAGTTATATATGGAAGTCGATTGTTGAGAGTAATTAGTAAAAATAAATAAAACGTCAGGTTTTTTCGGTAAATCACATTATTTACCGATCATAGAAAAAATGACGTAGCGAAAAGCATTCCAAATGCATGTAAAGCATTTTTAGTTGTCAAATTAAAAGATGTGCGAGGCTGGGAACATATACGTACCCAACCAATTTTCGTATAGGGATGATAACCAATACCAAACTTTGAACATCGAAATTGAGTGGTAACTGTATGTCCAGTTTCTAAGTTTTTCACGTATTTCACATTTCCAATGCCCGGGGAAAAGCTTGAACAACCACCTTTGTTTATCATAAGATTCTTTAACTTGCGCGGAGTTTTGAATCTGTAAGCCCTGGAAATATAGAAAATTAATAATGAATTCCACTGTTAAAGCTATTAATCTAAGGCCCCGTCAAGTCCTTCCAAATGTAGTTTTTGAATAATTATACTAAATCAAAAGAAAAATGGGAAATGTCGTGTTATTAAAAAACCCGACGCTTTGCATGGACAGTCATGTTTCTGGCGTAAGTATACTTCTTTGAAAAGTGCTAAAAGGATTACTGAATGCTCTAGTCACCATGAAAATAATAACCTATAAAAAGACTCATTTGACGCTAATATAGTAATATTAAGTTGAGTATAAGCAACAAGACTTAAAACAGGCCTCATTAAGTTAAAATAAACACGATTTGATACATTACGGTATCATTTTCAAACTTATCCGGCAACGCTGTCCACACGTATCCGCTCAGCCGTCTTTTTCAAATTCTTTCACTCTGCACAAGAGCGTGTCAGCGTGATTCTTCCGTTTTCAGTGAGCGAAAATGTCGGATACGTGTGGACGGTAATCTAAGACTCCGTCAAGTTCCTTCTAAATGTAGTTGTCGAGTATACTAAGTGAAAAGAAAAACGGAAATTATTTTACGGTGTGACCCAGAAAATATTATTGCGTTTTCGAATTCTTCCCGCACCGTTTGGTCAGTGCCAAAGAATCCGATATTGCATTGAAGATCAGATAACCCTTCGGTAGTACTAGCTGTTGCGAAGTTCTTACCAATGCGCCTTCGTCTTTTGAAAATCCTCTTCGGAAGCCATCTGAACTCTGAAATCAATAACATCAGTGTTTCCCAGCGCGCTACACCAGTGGGGTTTGCCAAATGGTTCAACTGCATCGTCATTAGATGGAACTGCCCATATGCCGGAACTATTCGTTCTACCGATAAGAATATATCCTCCACCATCAGTTTTCATGTCACACCAAGCCTTTTGAAGAAGCAACAAAATAATTTGCTTTGCGAAGTAGGAAATTTTCACAATCTCACTTACTCAAAACTTTTAGCGTAAATTAAGGCTTTGAGGTTACCCTGGGCCGCGGAGGATACTAGATGGTAATTTACAGTTGGTAGGGTATTTAGTAGACATTTCTTGTGACATTGATATTCTGTTAAATTCTTGGATTGGTGCAATTCAGCATCATGATGAGAATAATAAACGTGTACTACAAAATTTCTAATTGTGTGGAACGAGGTTCGTCTTATATATACATGAACTAATAGACTACCAGTAGAGATAAATGTAGCTAGATTCCGTTGCAATTTGAATAAGAGATTCCATAAAAAAGCTAAGTGGCTGACTTTAAGTTTAACTAAAATAATTAATATTGAAGTGATGCATTCAATTGTATGTACATTGAGGATGGAGTGCAATGCATCTATATATTGCAATATATTAGTGTTGTGCATCCAATACAGTAGCAGAAAAGAGTGCTGTTTGTGCATTTCTTGCCAAGGATGTCAGATCAAATTGTCACTTTGATATATACTATTATGGCAAAAATTTAAAAATGAAATTTGACTATTGAGTGGCAAGAAAATAAATATTTACAATATAAAACTTTCAAGAAAATCGTTTTAAGCTTTTTCAGAACTTAGAAGACAAAAATTATCACGCAATTATTATAAACCCCAAATAGTCGAGAAATAGTAGGCCTATTTACATTATTTTCACAATTCACGAATGCCGTACTTTGTTATAAACGTGACATATATTACTATTGTATGTATCAGTGCTGGTATATTAATTATATTATACGATTGTGAGTGCAGTGTTCTAGTTGCGATGAAAGCCTTCAAAAAACTTCTTGTATTATAGCATTGATTCGTATTGTTTGTAATGTCAGTGGATATTCCACACATACTCACGTATTTGAGTATCCTTATAAGTGTTGCTTTCATATAGGAATTTAAAAGTAAACATTGCACCAACCGATAATGCAAACGTTGCACCGTGTTAATGTGTTTTGTGCATATATATTTTGCATCCTTCGTATTGTTTTTAAAACGTGGCTTAGATTTCGATAAGTGCACAATACATCACTGGGTCATCAAGGTCCAAAACGCGACCTATTCCATGGGGCTAAGCAAGATATCTGAATTATTCACCCGAGGTTATTGTTTCCTACCAATGCAAACTTCCCCAATTCAGGCTGTGTTACCCCGTTTTCACAAAAATAAGAAAACCTGTTTCAGTCCTTCCTAATTTTCTTTAACGTTTTATATACTTGTTAAAATTTGAAAAAATAATTGTAATAAATTCATATTTATAATCGTATAAATAACATATCGGTTGGATTGAAATTTCTGCATCCTGTGATTTCAGGCGGGATTATATCTTATGTTGTTTTAAGAATAGTGTATGCAGTACTGTCCAGAAATAACCAAACACTGAGGTTGCGGTTTGGTTGCGGTTTGGTTGCGGTTTGGTTGCGGTTTGGTTGTGGTTCGGTTGCGATTCGGTCGCGGTTTTCTTGCGGTCGACCAATAGAAACAGCTAAAGACTGCAAGGGAAAATGCCTTTGCAGTGGCCGTTCGCTTCCGAATGAAATGTTATGAACAGCTGAGGAGGACTGCGCAATAACCAAATCAAAAAAAATATTAAGAAATGTCTGTCAGACCGAGTAAGGCCGAGGTTGAACCTCCGTCTCTCCGCGGTTCAACCGCGATCAGACCGAGGTTTGACTTAGGTTAACAGCGGTTTGTATTTCTGCATGGACAGTACTGTTGCTACTACAACTGGATATTTGAGATACCTTCTTTGGTTTTCTGTTGTTCAGTGTTATCCAGTAAAATCCATCTTTGGCTTCAGGATTAACATCCAATATTGACATGCAATCGTGTCCTGGATTAGATATTTCTCCAGTCTGACCATCTAAGGTAAAGTTAAATTAAAGGAATAGCTGTAAGTAGTTAGATTATGAAACGCGAAATGCAAATGACACACTATTGCCTCCCAGTACGAAACAATTTTTTTGCAAAATCCGTAATATAGAAGTAGCTTAGTTTCTAGAGATATGCGTTCTAAGCGACAGTATGGGTATAGCAAATTTGGATACTTTTCGTGTTTGGTGTAACTTTGGTCTAGCGTATCTTCCCAACCGCGTGTTTGTCCTTCATAAAATATTATTTTCCTAAAATTCGTTTTTTGCAAAATCCGTAAAATAGAAATAGCTTGTTTTCTAGAGATATGCGTTCTAAGTTACAGTATGGGTATAGCAAATTTGCATACTTTTCGTGTTTGATGTAACTTTGGTCTAGCGTATCTTGCAACCGCGTGTTTGTCTTTCCTAAAATATTAATTTCCTAAAATTCGTTTTACCATCGTTTGTTGTACTCCATCCAAATTTTCCTTCAACTTCACTGCAGACCAATAAAGTGTTCTTTCCTTTACGATCATTGACCAAAATTAATTCCCCAAAATTTCTTTCATTGCATGGGCCAAGTTTAGATTCCGTTGTAACTTTTATTTTCTGTAAAATACACAGACAAAGAAACAATTTTTTTTAGAAAAGTGATGGAATGTAAAAATGTCCGGAATGTGGTGTATTTTGTTTTTCTGCGCTTAAGGTGGCTCCCTACCGTTTCTCGAAATTTTTAGATTCACATTTCAAACGGGGATATTCAGCATCTAAACGTTTGATTAGAAGACTAAAATTTTATGTAACTTTCTGACATCATACCTAAAGCCGAAATCTACTCAAAACTTGTACCTGGCAGTCGTTGTTATAGCAAAACAGACATTTCAAAATTAATAGCCGCTAAAAAGCATTTAATCGAGTTTTTATCGAGTTTGGTGACCACCAATTTTTTTTCCATCACAATTTTACTCCATAGATGGTTTATAGTAAAGTTTTAAAAATATTTTGTCTGGTGCGATTTTTTTAAAGGGCTAAAAGGGTTTTTTGAAGGGTTTTTTGCAATAGAAAAAATCGCACTAGACAGAATTTTTTTAAAACTTTATTATCGATAAACCATCCATGGTGTAAAATTATGATGAAAAAAAAAATTGGGGGTCACCGAACTCCTTTTTGATATAAACTCGATTAAATGCTTTTTAGCGGCAATTTGAAACGTCTTTGTTGCTATAGCAACGACAGCCAGGCCCAAGTTCTGAAAAGATTTCGGCTCTCGGTATGTTGCCATTAAGATATATAAAATTTTAGTCTTCTAGTCAAACGTTTAGATGCTGAATATCCCTGCTTAAAATGTGCATTAAAACTTTCGAGAAACTGTAGGGAGCCACCTTAAGGTGGCCAAGAACACTGAAAACCCACTCAAAAAATACTGCGAAATTTTTATTTGTGAACGTTCAGATCCGAAGTAAAAATATTAAAATTAAATAAAATCAATTCCATTGTTCTAACGTTAAAATAAACCTGGTTTGTTATTTTGTTTACAAAAATCATTCATTTTCCATCATTGAGTGTGTCTGGTGTTTTCTTTACTATGGTGACTGCACATTCATGCAACTCCTTTTTAGCTCAGTTTAATTAGCTTAGTAATGTAGAAAGAATAATTTAAAAGTTTTTAAAAATGTTACCCAATCAAAGATGAAGCATTCTTTTTAACTGCAGACCCCTTAAAATATCTCAGACTTAAAATACCTTAACATTTGAAAATCGATTCCTGACGCGAGGAAATCAATTCCTGACGTAAAATTAGACGAAGGGGTCAGTTTTTCGGCTTCTCTTGTCTGAAAGTTTTTTCGATATTTCTATTATTGTGAAATAATATTGTCGATGATGCGATAATTCATATCATCTTGTATGTTTATATAAAAAATATCAAAATATCAAAATAATCCTAAAAATGTGAACTAAATCACTGTAACCCCCTTATTTTGTAGATTAGGCCGCTTTGATGTGTAATATTTATTAACAAAAAAATCACATTCATTTTGAAGTGAATATCATAGCGAATTGGCAACATATCGATCTAAAAAAGTATCCGCTGAGGACAATTTCCTCATAAAAATGGTTCAATTTTTATTAATTTCGGTCAAGTATTTGCACAGGAGTCGGCAAGTGTTTGAGACATGAATGAGATAATTTAATTAAGAAGAATTAGAACTGCATCAGGGTGTATATAACCCCCGATTTATGTGTGATGCGTTGGGACTTCGGCTTATTTTAGCACATGCGAGCAAATATGGCGTTTTAAGCAACTGGTTCGAAGATTTGTCAAACAGTTTATATATACTGTAGGTACCATATTCATCCTGACATTATAAATCTTATAAGAAAGGGAGTGATGTAACGTAGTTAACCACGTGATTGGAACATCACATGACAGTCCAACTCGTGTAGAGGTAGTGTGGATGCTAGCAAGAGGCTAAGATAGATTCAGTTATTGATTTTGAACTATATTATTTTAATCATAATAATTATACTAAGCTCTGGGAGTATATTACAGACGACACCGATGTCGAAAAATATGACAAATCATCCCTTGTTATTCGATTATTAGCTATTTCGCAATAATATACATGCAAAGGTTTTACAACTTCCTCTCCAGCATTTAATTATGGCGCTCTTTTGTTTACATTGTTTTATAATATGGCAAGCGCGGAGAATAATTTTGTGAGACACGTATATCTTTTGATGAAAAGCTAAAAATATCAAATGGAAAATTTCAAGAATGTTATATTAGCAAAGCATTATTATTCATACCAACTCAAACTTTCCGATTCCTGTTCATTTAATATAAATGTGGCCAGGTCCATGTATTTACTTATTCATAATTAGATAGATTACGCATTATTAGTATATGGCACGCGGTCTCGTGACTAAAATGGCGTGCGCTGATTGGCTCTTTGCCGGTTTGGAATCCCCCAGTATTAGACCGTTGCCGTAGTAACGGTCCAACTCTCATATTTTTTGAACAAAAACAAGCTTGCACTTTTATTTTTGACACGAAAAATATCGACGGAGAATAGACGAAGAAGAGCATTATTTGGTACATGTGAATATTATATTTATTCATCTTTGATTTTTGTTTATAGTACTGTATCATTCTTATTTAACGAGTTAAAAACAATGTTTTGGAAGTCGCTTCAGTGCTTGCTTGGCGACTGGCTGACGAAAGAGCCGGCAAGAATGCTGCAGCGCATTGTATAAATAATTAAACCAAATACTGTATGCCACATAATAAATCTCTTATTAACCGAATACGTTCGGTCAGTACTGGAAAAATATCAGACCTCGGTCTTTTATGACGGACCTCGCTATCGCTCGGTACGTACTGTCAACACCTCGGTCTGATATTTTTCTAGTACGGACCTCAAATTCGGTTATAAGTGGTATGTACAGAGTAGCTGCCGGGTAAGTTCAGTTTTGCTTGTGTGTGATAAATGAGAAAATATTATTTACATGTATACACATATACATATACTCGTGAACTGGATATTGCATGTTGTGTTGGTTATGGTATAACTATAGTGTGTAACTATATTAACTTACCAAACACGAAGCGTCCGCGCTTATAAAATCATCCGGGTTTGAATATGAAATGAAAGTATTTAGTATTTGCTAGACAAAAATTTGTTGCGATTCAACCGTTGTTGGTAGTCCTTTCTCAATATCTCTCCTGTTGTAAATACCGACGAGGTGGTTGCATAATATACAAATAAAAGTGCTATACAGTATGCGAGTCATAAATATATTGAAAGAAGGAATTAATATCACTTGATAATTTAAGCAATAAATAATTACAAATTTGCGGTATATGACTCGCTGTAAGAGAGTATGTTAAAATTTTTCGTGCTATAGGGGAAAACGAGGAATCAGATACCCGTTTCAGCTCGTGTGAATTATTTATTACAACCTGGATTGATGACATTGTTCGACATACGACATTTGACAGAAACCCGGTTCATGAAAAATCCTTTGCGATGAGTCTGTTCTGTTCACAATTTATGCAAGAATTTGCCACAAGGACTGTTTGAGTTATGACCATTGCTTATACGATAAGATTAGTTCAAACGTCAAGCTAATATTTCAATGTAATGTGAATCTAAAGCTCATCGCACACGGCACAATAACGGAAGTTACACGCGAAATTGTAGATCGTAGCAAATTGGTTGCAACTAAAATTCTCGTTTACGGGGAAAAATTGCAGTATAATTAATGGCCTTTGCTTGCTTTCAGAACTACTTCTCGATATATTGATGTATATATGAAAAGTGCCTTAAAAAAAACCATTAAAATAACCAATGTCATTTTTCGGAGTAGCATGAATAAAATTGGGACTTCTACTTACCCCATGGCCATGCACTCTCAAGACAACGAAGCATAAGATCACAGCAAATATCCACGAAATGGACATCATGGTTATTCTTAAACCTACTATTTTGTTCATTCAGTTCTCTGCCCTTGTATGCTGACTATCAAACTTATTGTTTTGCTTAATGCAGGCAGAATATAAATACGTAGGAAGTGTATTAAAATGAGCTCTTTGCTGAAACGACATAATTATCTTTATCGTCTCAACAATGAAATATTGCACAAGGATCGTAACCTCAGTAATTTGATCTTCATCCTGCTTGCGCAGTACTCGTAGATAATAACTAAACTATGGTGAAAATGTTATTTAAAGTGCCTATATAACTCGTGTGATCTTGATGCATTTGAAACGAACGTAAAAAGTTAGTTGATATGTTAACGCTTTTTGATTTAGTGCAATAATTTCGAAGATACAAGCCTCTAAACTACCTGCGGTTCCTGAGTCCCAACTTCCTGGGTTTAAACACGGCTATTTAATTTGAAACTGCCCATTGTTTACAGGAGCCTGGGACTCAGGAACTGCAGGTAGCTTAAAGGCTAGTATCTTCAAAATTGTTGCACTAAACCAACACACTAAACCAACACAGACACTTTAAACAGTAAGTTAAACACACAAAAGAAAGGAATTATTGGCATACCAATGAAGAATTTATTGCTTCCTGCACTTGAGACTTTATAATAAAGTAGATTAAATACTTTAGTTTGACGCGCAGGTAATTTCCCTGGAATTCTGATGACATATAGGTAACGCCTGGGAAAGCGAAGATGAGGGTCAGTATAGATAAAGAGCAGAATGTAATGCCAATTCATTCTGCTCCTCGCTTCGACAAGGTCATTACAGATCAAATTTGAATTATTGACACTTCTTTGAACAGGTAACTATCTCTATATTTATTCTTATTAGAACTAATTTAGAATGTCTTTTGGATTTCCCAATATTCTAATTTTGGGTCATTCTTTTGTCCGTCGCTTACGGGATGATTTAAAGGCTAATTTCGATTCCCGCGCATCCCAAAATTTCCATATTCCCGAATCGGGTTATGTCACTATGCTGGGTACAGGTGGCCGGACAGTTGAAAAAGTGATTCAATTCGATATTTCTTCTGTCCGATCTGCCAAACCTGACATTATAATTCTCGAGTTGGGTACAAATGATCTGACTACACATGCACCTGAGGTAGTAGGATCGAGGCTTGAAGAGCTCGCTCGCCAACTTCGCGACGAATTTCACGTTCGCGTAATTGGGGTGTGCCAGGTGATTGACCGCAACATCGCCAAAACGCGGGAATCTGATAGTGTTTTTAACACCAAGGTTCTTGCAGAGGAGCAGGGTATTTTTCTATGGGAACATCGGGAATTTTTCAATCCCGCCCGTGTTCTGTTATCCACGGACGGCGTTCATTGTAACCCACAAGGGCAATATTGTTTGTATAGGAGCTATCGCGGGGCTATTTTGAAAGCTCTGGCACTGTTGTAGTTCATTTATCGTGTATATATTATGCATAAAATATATTATATATGTGTGTATATGTTTTTCTGTATATCTCTTACTACGCATACTCCGCATTTTTATTTGTCGTTTATCATACGTTTGACTTACCCAATATGGGCTAGAGCGACATGACTGTTTACAGATGCCCACGTTGAGATTTCAACATTGGGTTTTTTGCTGCGCAGGACGAGTTCATGATTTTACTTGTTATATATGCGTTGTGTGGGTTGTGATGTTTGTCGTGCTGATGTAGTTTTATGCATATATCGCTCGTTCGTTCTGTGTAGGAAAAAATGCATGTCTAAGTGGGTAGGGCGTTTTACGTTTCCGGATGCCCACAGTTGAAGTCAATATATTGTGGGATGGTGCGGCATGTTGTTTTCAGATTGCCCGATAATTTTCAGTATTTGCAGCATCACGGGATAATCAAATGCGGCTACCCTCGTTGTATGCCATGATTATTTCGCTGCCTTTTCCATTCTTCCTGTCTTTTTTAATATTTTCAATTGTATTGTGCGTGGCGTGTCTCTGGTATATAGTATTTTACGTATCACCACAGACATTCGTTTCGCTCTTGCTCTGCTCTTTGTTTATTCCTTAGTTCTTGCTATACGGAATTATGCCTGCTACCACTACCAGAGCGAGTAAACGAGTGAAGAGGCGAACGCAACAAACCCGACCCGGCCGACCACGACGATCGTCCCGCTCCGGTCCACTGACGGCTCCCAGTACATCGGTGAATACCTTGCCGCAGCCATTGTCCGCGCCAACTACTGCACCAACAGACAACACCACTGCGGGGTCTACCAACCATTTTACCCTCTCAGAAGCTACTCTTGCCCGAATAATTTCGGAAACAACGCAGGCGGTTATGGCCAACCTCCAGTCACACACCATCCCATCTACACCGCTCGAGTTCTCAACGGAGACGCGTGAATTGCCAGTGGTTGCTTCGGGTGTGTTGGGTACGGCAGACGCCACGATGCAGGGGCCGGTGGCGTCTGCTTTACTCAATATATCAGGTGAGCCTAATTTAGTGCCGGTATCGCGGTCCCCAACGCCAAGATCCAAATTTAATTCCATCAGTTTGCCTATCGGAGCAAACGTTAGTGCCAAATTGAAGTCGAAAATTTGGGCCGATGAATTTTTAGATTTCAGCCTATTGCTTGGTTCTGGGGCTTGTGATACTCGTTATCAGCTGTCGGTGGGGCCTCAAGAAGGCTCCAATGTTCCGCTTTTATCTTTGGAACCAACACACAAAGTGAAGTCCATCCCTAATATCGAGGCATGGACTTCAGCGTTTCAAATTTTTGTCGGGGTGTACACAACTAAATTCCCCATGGAGGCCCCCGCTTTGATGAAATACGGCGAAGTTGTTCGCGATTTGGCTGCTCGCGGGGGTGACTGGCGTTTTTACGACGCTCAATTTCGTCTTTTGCGTCAAACTAACCCAGCCGATGCACCGTGGAGCGACACTCACTGGGAACTGTGGATAAGGGCGCAAAATTTCAATCATTCACGCTTCACTAAAACCCAGCTACCTACGCGTAATCATGGGTCTAATTCGCCAGCGTCAGTTCCTGCCCTATTTGTTCCCAGGGGATTTTGTCGCAAGTTCCATCGGGGCGGCGATTGTCCGGGCTGTAATTTTAAACATCAATGCTTTAAATGTGGTGTAGTCCACTCCGCACTCCGATGTAATTTTCGTCCCTCACGCTCAAATTCGCAGTCAACCCCTGCAGCATCCAAGTCCCGTCCTGCCAACACCAGTACAAATTAATAAACTCTCCCTCTACTATGTGGATATGATGTGCGATTGACATCTATGTTATATAATGGTTTTCAATTTGGTTTTCCCCTTCATTTTGAAGGCATTCGTATATCGTTTTTTGCAACAAATCTTGTTTCGGCCCTGCAGAACCCGGAAATCGTTAGTGCTAAACTTTCGAAAGAATTAGCGGCGAATCGCATTGCTGGGCCCTTTGACAATCCCCCTTTTCCCAATTTTCGAGTCTCTCCGCTAGGCGTTGTTCCTAAGAAAACTCCAGGGGAGTACCGTTTGATTCACCATTTGTCATTTCCGAACGGTGCTTCTGTTAACGATGGGATTGCTCCCGAGCATACCTCTGTGAACTATGCTCGTGTCGATGATGCAGTTTCTATGATCAAGCAGCTTGGGCGCGGTTGTTTTCTTGCGAAGACAGATATCAAAAGCGCATTTCGTATTATTCCCATACGCCCTGCCGATTACGATCTCTTGGGTATTTTTTGGCAAGGCAAATATTATTATGATCGAGTTATGCCTATGGGGTGTGCGTCGTCATGTCGCACTTTCGAGATGTTTAGCACTGCTATCGAATGGGTTGCTAAGACACACTTGTCAATCGCGCATCTAATCCACATTCTCGATGATTATCTAATGGCCGCACCTACTTATCACCAATGTCGCATTGACCTTGTTCGCTTTTTGTCTCTCTGTGAACACGTAGGCGTGCCAATCGCTCCAGAAAAAAAATCGGCCCACACAACGTTCTTTCCTTTGCCGGCATTGAATTAGATACTTTGTGCATGGAAGCCCGCTTACCTTTGGATAAAACTGACAAATGCAAGCAGTTGATATCGGCTTTTCTTTGTCGCAAAAAGGTCACATTACGCGAGATACAATCTTTAACCGGTTTGCTCAATTTTGCTTGTTCAGTCGTTGTCCCTGGGCGGGCCTTTCTCCGACGTCTTATTGATTTAACTAAGGGCGTACGGTGTGCTCATCATTTCATTCGCCTAACTAAATCGGTAAAGGCTGATCTCGAAATTTGGCAGTCGTTTTTAGCCAATTTTAATGGCCGATCGTTTTTTCTCAATGACATGTGGCATGACTCTGCTAGCCTTAACCTGTACACTGATTCTGCGGCTAGCTTCGGCTATGGCGCGCTTTTTGGTTTTGAGTGGTGTTACGGTGCCTGGCCCGACAATTGGAAAACTTTTAACATAACGATTTTGGAATTCTACCCAATCGTATTAAGCGTTCTTCTATGGGGAGACCAGATGCGTAACCAGCGTATAACTTTTTTCACCGATAATGCGGCATTGGTTGATATTATAAATAAGGCTACTTCTCGTGGTGTGACTGTTATGGTGTTTGTTCGACGCCTGGTGCTGGCTTGTTTGCAATTTAATATTCTCTTTCGCGCTCGCCATGTAGCGGGGGTTACAAATGTTTTGCTGACTCCTTATCTCGCTTGCAGGTTTCGAAGTTCAAACGGCTAGCTCCAGTGGGCGTTCGGCCAGCACCGATAGTCATACCGCCTCACCTTCTACCACACAATTGGCCGCTATTACCTCGCGGTTAATTCAATCTGGTTTGCAGCCATCGTCAATCCCTACCTATCGCAGGGCATGGAAACTCTACAATCAGTTTTCTTCTGCAGTTTTTCAATCTGCTTCAGTCCAACTGCCCATATCGCCTTCAGACTTGGGTTTATTTATCGCATTCATGTTTCAGCGCCATTATGCAGCCTCGACCGCGAATACATATGTTTCTGCATTAGGTTATTGTCACCGTTTAACGGGCGTGCATGACCCTACAAAGGTATTTTGGGTTCTCGAAATGTTGAAAGGATATGGTAAGCTTGGCTCCGGTGTTGATGCACGCCTTCCAATCACTATTTCTATCCTCCGCACAATTTTGCAACAGACTTCTCTCGT